AGAAGTAATTAATGTCTCAACGATATGGAAGGAGTTTCTGCATGGAAACTTTTGGGCTCAGCATTAGCATTATTCTGCTGGGCGCCACAGGCCTTAGTTATGTCAGGGACCCCTGTTCACACAGCAGGATGCGGGGTCTGGCAGGAAACCAGGGAACTGGAGACAAGGCGTCACAGGTGAAGGAGACAGCTCTGCTCAAGGCCAGCCCCAGCCATCTTTTTCCTGACTCTGAGCCCTACTGGGAAGCCCCTGTCAACTCTGACACCTTCTCTCCCTGCCCTTGGCTTAGCGATGAGGGGTTGCCTTCCACATCCCCCAACATCTTAATACTCAATCCCATCCCATTAGCCTCATCCTGTCTCAGATTCATCCCACTGCCGTGGCTCAGCAGAGAGAACCCAAACTGCTTTTATTACAGAAGCACAGCCGGCATATTTAAGGAAGATTTGTAATATCACAGGCATGTATAAAGAATGAGCAAAGCATCGGTTAAGCTTGAGATTAAACTAAACACAATTCTGCTGCCAGGCATCCAGCCAATTGAATTACAGCTCCCGAGCGCAGGTGGGATTTAATGCAGTTCCTGAGCAAGGCGGTGGCACACAGGAGCTACGCCAGCAAACGCCTGAAAGGCATTGTTGGGGGAGTTTTTCGGGGAGCTAGGAGATTGGACAGAGCTCCCTTGCGGTTGTTCCAGTGGTTGCAGTCATCTCCAGGATCAGGATTGCTAGGAAAAGTTATTGTCTACACCTGCAGGCTTGCAGTCACACCAGGGTGCCAGTGGGGACCAAATGACTAAGCCTTGGGGGGTGCAAAGTGCCCCCTTCTGAGAAGGCTCACGCATCCGCCCTGCTCTCCCAGACTTCATGCTTCTGCCTCGACACAGGTAAGTTGAACACTCAGGAAGCACACGAGGTCCAGGGAGGTCGTGGGGTGTCCCTTGACATCACAGGCCTGTCTCTTCTTCTGGTTCCATTCCTCGTGCTCCACTGTCACACGCAGAATCCCCTCAAGACCTGGAAACATAAGCCTTGAGGGGTTGGTGTTGTGGCGCAGTGCGCTGGGCCAGTTTGCAGCACCTGCATCCCCTGTGGGAGAGCTCCCATTTGAGGGCCAGCTGCTCCGCGCTTCCAATTCAGCTCCTTGCTAATGCGCCTGGGAGGCAGCCGGCAATGGCCCAAGTATTTGGGCTTCTACCATGCGTGTGGTAGACTCAGAGTTCCAGATTCCTGCTTTCAACCTAGCCCAGCCCTGGCCTTTACAGGCATTTGGGGAGTGAATCAGTAGATGGAAGACCTCTCTCTCTCTCCTTTTCTCTCTCTCTGTCACTGTGCCCTTCAAATAAATAAATAGTCTTTAAAGAAATAAGCTCTGAGACAGTGGTTCCATCAGCGCCTATCTCGGAAGTCAACAGGATGCTCAGAAAGGCGCTTGGCTTCTTGCCTGTGTGCATGACAAAGAGGAGTTCCGATTCCAGCCATTCCTTTATGGTTGCACCGGGCTCCTTAATGGGTAGGGGGACATCTCCCCTGGGTTTGTGTCTCCCAGAGGAGGACACTCTTTTCAATCACCTCTTTCCCATTCAGGCTTCTTCCACCACCACCACCCCCCCACCCTTGGGAGGGATCAGACGTCTGGCTGTGGGGTTGGAAGAACCCAGGCCCGTGGCACCTCTCTCCTTGCTGCAGATCTGCGTGTGGGCACAGCAGGTCTGTCCTGGTGCCCCTGTTCCTGCAGAGGGAGCCCAGCTCTGCAGAGCAGACCTGGGGCAGGGTCCATCCATGAGGCTGAAGTGTGAGCGCATTCTTTAGGCTGCAAATCTAAATCCACACTCGATAGCCAAAGCCTCGGTCATCAAGCTACCTCGGTAGGCTCCAGCTATTGACCACCTGCGTCTTTCTCTCTATGGGTCTTGAGTTCAGAAAGAGAAGACGGGTGTTATACTTGGGTCCCTTACATCCACACAGCCTCAACATGCAGTCCCACAATCCAGCACATGTGTACACACACACACACATGCACATCCCTCCTGTGTTAAAGTCCCCGCCCCTCACCTCTTCCCCTGGCCATCCTGGTCACCTGTCGCATCCAGCCAGTTTGTCTCACCTGAGAGGGTTCTTGCCTTTCTTCCATGCAGGGGAAACTTGGCATTGATGAGGCTGCCCTGGATCAAACTCCCCACTCAGGGCCTGTGGGTGTGGCTCCCCCACCGCTGGAGAACAGACTTCCCTGAGCCCCTCTGGGCAGACCCCAGAGCCCTCTGGGGTCACCTCCTCTTTATCAGGCACATTCTTTCTTTTTTCTAGAATCCTGGGACTTTTATCTCAAGCGAGGACACTGGGAGTCCTGATCTGCCCAGTAGAGCCGGCTGATCATTTATAAGACAGAACTTCCTGGCATGAAAGTAACCACCAAGAAAATAAGACTGTCTCCAAAGTCAGGTCATTGGCAGGTCTGGTATCCCCGGGCTACAGCCCTGGCTGACAAACTTGACCCCGTGGAGTGGCTGTGGGGTGATTTGACCACCGTCAGTGCTTGGATATGTGTTTTTGGAAGTTTAGCCCCTACTTTTGTCAGAATAGAGGCTCCACTTGGAGAAGGACCCATCTTAGCAGTGCTCAGAGACTACTGTGATTGAAGATGAGAAATACACCAGCCACTGGGAGGGGACCCTGGGTTGGGCACACCCGTCCTGGACAGTGCTGAGACAGGCGTGGGGCTACTCCATGACGTCCCAGTTCTGCGGCTGATGCTGTCTTTGTCACTGTGCCTGAGCCTACTCGACTGAGGACATCCTGCTCAGACAACTTTGTTTGTTTTGCCTTGATGCATGATTTTGGAGTGTAGTTCCAGCTCATTTGGCTAGCTTTGGGGCGACCCAGTTACTCCAGCCCCCCAATACGCAAGATGCTCCTGAGGTTGTCGGGGTTCCTGACTTCTCTGCTCTTCCCCAACCGATGAACACAGCATGCCCTCCTCCAACTCTGCTCCTGCGGGTGTCACATCCACCAGCCACGCTGCAGCCTCCAAGGCACACCCACAGGAAGACGTCTCTGACCACCCCACCCCTTACTGATCTTGGAAAGGCCATGGCCCCTGGAGGTAACGAGACATAAATTAACCATTCCTTGAACGTTTGGCGGCTAGCGCCCATCACTGTCTCTTCCTATATGTGCTGTTGCACCAACTAGACTGTAAGCAACATGTATTTCAAGTTTTTAATCTTCCCCATCATGTCTAGCATATTAAGGGGCCTTGGAAACACTGACTAATAAAAAAAAGCATCTTAAATAATTCTTCGCTTTTCCAAATACCACTTACGTTTTCTGTGCATTTGAAATTTTCTTCCTCTAAGAAACCTTCCTTGACCATTCTAACTCACGTTGATTTCTCTTTCCGACCACTTATTATTGCCTGGGCCCTGCATTTCGTCACTCAGCTTGGCTCTGTGAGTGTGCATTCTCACTCACACTGAGAGTCCTGAAGCCAGAGCTGGGCTGATGTTAGCTCCAGCCCACTGTGGCTCCGAGCGAGGCTCAGGGAGGACCCACTCAGGTCTCAGCCAATGCTTGCTGCTGCCCTGAAGATCTCCCTCCTCAGCCTGGCCACGGGCCACTGCCAAAGAGCAGGCTCTCGTTCTAGGTAGACCTGGATGAGGGCCCCGCTGCTGTCGCTTGCAAGGTGTCACCTCAACTAAGCTCTGCAGGCCTCCACCCCATACACTACGCGGGCAGGAAAAATACCAGCTGGCAGACAGAGCGATGGTGAGCCCTAAGTGCCACTGCCCACTGAACGCATTAGGTGTGGACAGTAGGGGTCAGGAGGGGAGTCCTGGGGAACCAGACCTCATGGCCTTGACCCAGTGGTTTACTCCCTTTCTCCTTATTGGTGTGATAGGAAGTCGTGTGGACCCACAGCTTCCTGCAGGGATTGTGTGCGATGATGTGTCCAACTAGGTGCTTAGTGCTGATTATAGTAATGACGGTAATGGGAGAGCTGTGTGGTTAACAAAAAAAGAAGAAAAAAAAACACAAAGCAACTGTTATCGTAGTAACCAGCACACGGAAAAGCCAGGCTGGGTGCTTGTGGTCTCTCTGTTACTCTTCCAGGAGTCAGGATTGGATTCGCTGGCCCCCTCCCCCAAGTGCACCTACAGGGCCCAAAGCAGGGTTTGTAACCACTGCCTCGAATCTTCACACTAGGGGAACAGAACCTCAGCCAGTGTGGCGACACAGCTTCCTCTCAGCCCCCACCACACCAGTGACTCTGCATCTCCAACTCCTTAATCCTCCGGAAGAGCTGCCATAAATTCCTACTCAAGGGTAGCTTCTAACGATTTATAGTGCAATAAAATCTACAAGAGTCTTCCCCAAGCAGGAAATCTGACAATGGTGCTTTTCCCAGAGGACAGCCCAGAGGATGCCTATGCTAAGGGAAAACTGAACTGTCCTGGAGAAATTTGCTCTAAACTCCACAGCCCAGCAGCCGCTCAGCCATGTCAGGGCCTGGCTTAGCGTTTTGCATCTTGTGGCTGCTGCCTGGCGCATGTGCTGTCAGCCAGCCCCACGAGTGGAGGATGATCCGGGGAATTTCTTGGGAGAACAATCTTCCATTCTTGGTGCTGCACTGATGGTAGGTTCTGTGACTTCCCAGTCCTTTTTTTGTGTACAGCCAGCGCTGGAGAGTATGAGCTGAGCCCTTCAATATATTTATTTTTTTTTAAAGATTTATTTATTCATTTGAAAGGCATAGTTACACAGAGGCAGAGAGAGAGAGAGACAGAGAGAGAGGTCTTCTATTTGCTGGTTCATCCCCCAGATGGCTGCAACAGCCGGAGCTGGGCCAATCCAAAGCCAGAAGCCAGGAGCTTCTTCTAGGTCTCCCATGCGGGTGGCAGGGGCCCAAGCACTTGGGCCATCTTCCATTGCTTTCCCAGGCCATAGCAGGGAGCTGGATGGGAAGTAGAGCAGTCAGGACTAGAACCGGCATCTATATGGGATGTTAGCACTGTAGGTAGAGGTTTTACCCGCTATGCCACAGCGTGGCCCCCTCTTCAATACATTTAACTTCTGAAATTCTCTCTTCAGTTTCTGTCACTCCGGATCTGTTACTTAATTACTGCCTCAACTTGCTTAAAATCATGATTTTAATGCAACTAAATAGGTGCAGTAATTTACTCCTCCAAGGTGCCTGATTTTCTGTCATGATAAAGGATTCACTGTATTCCAGATTAATCATAACAGTTTAGATGCATGTGCTGCCTCAGGGGGAGAGAAATGGATGAACAGGCGATGTTACCTTTGGTCACTTTGCTGTGGACCATCCTTGCCCACCGGACTATTGCCTGGCAGACAGTCAAGATTGCTTCATTGCAAGGGCGCAGGTGGGAAATGGCCACCAGGTTGTGGTTGACACGGGGAGAAGCAGCAGGTGCAGATATAACAAGGGATGGTTCCAAGAAGCTTCACTGTTAGTGAACATGGTGCGGGAGGAAGAACGAAAAAACCCGGTGGCATAAATTTACTTAAAACTGTGATTAGCCGATGGGGGCTGGGGAGGAGAGGCACAAAGTGAGACTAAAGCCACTGCCAACTCCACAGTGCTTTTACGCTTGCCTAGGGGATGCAGTCACGCCCAGCCTCACGTGACATTGCTGCTTCAAGGGGTCAACCAGTAAAACGCATAGGCTATTCACCCGGAGCTGTGGTTGGAGGGGAGCAGGGGGGCGGAGCCAGGAGGGCTGGAGCGCACCCACATGGTGCATCTGAGTTCTAACAGATGCCCGGGGGCTCTGATGCAGACAGCTTGTGGGCCACCCTTTGAGAAACACTGGAGGAGACGACTCCATGATTTTCAGCTGCCTCAAACAGACCTACAACCCCTGCACATTTGATTCTTTGTGCATTTTCTACGTTCATAGCCTTGTGTATATGCAAGAAAGGAGACTATATGCCATTTGTCTCTACTGTGTATTGGATAACACACAGGCCTCTCTGTGAATGAGGCACCAAGGGGTCTATGTGCTTGACTTCGGGGACCGATGCAAACACACTTGGGACTTGGCCTTTGCTGTCCTGATGGTGGCTCGCTCCTTTCTGTCTGCAATCTGGAGCCGGGGCCGCGAAGTCTGATGCCCCTTAGAGGGCCCCAGCACCAGGAAATTACAGAATTTTCTCTGCCCTGCCTTGACCAAGTGAAAAGGAGCCTTCTTCCTCCTCTGTTAATCATTCACGTTTGGAGAGGGCACAGAGGTGTCAGCGCCTGCTCCTTCTGCAGGGGAGAAGATGATGGGGAGTAAGGATTGAGGAGTGGGTAAGGAGGGGTTCTGAGGCTCTGTGTGGGCTCCAAAGGAGACAGTATCCTCAGGGGTCCCTAGAGGGGCAGGACGGGGTTGCTTTCGTGTCTCTCGTTACGAGTCCAGCCTGAACTTTCTCTTGCACACACACACTCTTTGTATCATGATTTTAAAACTTGGAGATTTGTTGGCCGAGCTTTAAAGCTTCTGTCCTGCCTTCAAATTCCGTGCTCTTTCTAATGACTTAGCTCATGATAAATCACCCACTCTCACCGGGTGGGACTTTTGGAAGTTGCAAAGTCCTCTCTCGGTCCCGTTCTTCCCTGTGACCTACTCCTGTGTGCATTCCCACGGGCGTTGCTAACAGAAGTGATACAGGGCTGCATTCGAGAAAAGGGGAGTCCCGTGCCAGGTTGTTGGGGCCTCTTAGGGAAGGGAAGGCCTTGCCTACGTCAGCGTCCCTGTTTCTAAACAGCATTCTTAGATGTCCTGCACGGGCTGTCCTCCTCCACCTTGTAACCCAATCTGCAGATCTGTCAAATTTGCTGCTTCGAAGGCTCAGGAATTCCCGCGCAGCTTTTACCCGGCAGGACGGGGCTGCCCCTCCCTCCCACTGGGAACGTTTTCCCCTGTAGCTGTCACCGACCACCACTCTGAAGCCACCAATGGACTTTGTTGAGAATGGAGGCAGAGAAACTGAATAAAATAGAACTAATCCATGCACTCAGCCTTCACCTTCCTTGACACTGGGCGATCCAATGTGGTGCTCAAGAGCCATGTGACGGGGTGGAGGGCAGCACAGAACATGGAGGTAGAGGAAGCAAATCATGATTTAAAAAAAAAAAGATTTATTTTATTTATTCGAAAGTCAGAGTTACACAGAGAGAGGAGAGGTAGAGAGAGAGAGAGGGAGAGAGAGAGGTCTTCCATCAGCTGGTTTACTCCCCAGATGGCTGCAATGGCCAGAGCTGGCTGATCTGAAACCAGGAACCAGGAGCTTCTTCCGGGTCTCCTATGTAGGTGCAGGGGCCTAAGCACTTGGGCCATCCTCTACTGCTATCCCAGGCCATAGCAGAGAGCTGGATGAAAGAGCAGGATCGGAAGTGGAGCAGCTGGGTCTTGAACTGGTGCCCATATGGGATGCCGGTGCTTAATGCCAGGGCCACAGCGCCGGCCCCAGCAAATCATGATTAGGTGAAGGTGACAGAAACAATAGGTAACTTAATAGTAATAAGAGGCAACTTCAAAAATTCGTGGAAAAATGACATAGAAAAAAATGTTAAATCCATAGTATCCATTTCCCATGAGCTTTTTTGAAGACTCCTTGTACGTGTGGGTTCCAGAATGTTTTGGACCCCAATAAATGTGTCTTTTTCATTCCATCTTCCAAGAGGTTTTTGAAACACAATGCAATTCTCATAGCACTTCTATTGCATTGTTTGGTTGCGAAGAAGAATCCATAAAAAGACGATGCCCAAGCTTTTTAATTTAGTGGCTCTCATCTGGGAATAAATACATCTGACAGCAGCCTGACTTTTTAAAATGCAAACATTGCTCAGATTTATTAATTTTTATGTTATGAATATTTAAATCGGTTCATCCCAAAGGAGTCATTCTACATGGAGCTAATGCACTTACATTTTTAATGAAATGAGTAGTCAACCATTAAAAATAAAATATTGATATGAATTGTTCGACTAATTGATAGCAGGAAGAAAGGTAGCGCACCAGCCATCAGAGAAGTTAGAAAAATGAACAGAAAGCAAATGACCTAATTATTACCCGCCTGTGACATTCAGGAAGACACTGTCCAATCTCTCTCTCTTCCTTTATGAACAACTTCTTTTTAAAATGTCTAAAGAAAATTATCGCTGTAAATCAACCCTCAGGTAGGACAAGGGAGCCAAGAAGTAACCGGATCGCTAGCAGCAGCACTTAACTGCTTAGCTCCTGCTGCAGAAAGGGGGGCGGGGAATCAGGCAGTTTGCTGTCATTCCACACCAAAGCTGCTCTCTCTTGGATTCCCCATAAAATGCAGCGACTCCAACCGAACATCAGTCCCCCTTGAATTTCAAGATACCTGGGCTCTTATCAAGATGTGAATAAATATAATTTTAAAGTCCTTTAAAGAGTTCCCATTTAAAGACCCTTTGAAGTCTTGTGTTGGCTTCTGCTTAAGTGGAAGAATTAGGGTTGAAAGCAAAGCCTGGCATTCCTTTTGCTGCGTGTGATTTTCTATGTTTAATTGGCTGAGAGTGAGGCAGACTTTTCTTTGGGTTGAAGGCTTAGGATGGATGAATGAAGACCGCTCTGGTTGTCAAATGGCTTTTTCAGCTCATCAACCTGTAAGTGGAGGGCAGGGGCACTTCATCCCACAGTTTTTGTGGGTCAAAGACTTCCTCACTTCTGTTCAGCTAGAAGCAAGCGGATAAACAGAGAAGACACCAAGAGCTGCACCTGTGCTGGAGAGGACGGAGTCAGACTTCTGGCTCAATCTTCTCACGAGGCAGTAGGAGGAGCAAGGCACGTGTTCCACAGAAGGACGGGCCCTGGTGTGCCTCGGCCATGTGGTCGGTGCTGGGAACTAAAACAGCAAGAAGAGAAGTGGGCAAGGGGGATTGTGGGGGTTTTAAAGCAGGTAGAAAGAGAAAATTAGGAGAGTGAGAGATGGAGGACTTTGGGCAGAAGCTGGTTAAAGGGATGCAATGGGGAGAGGGGAGGAAGGGAAGTGTAGGTGAGAGCCAGATATGGGGGCAGCAAAAACAGTGGACCAAGGGGAGAAGGAAGATCAAGAACTGAGCAACTAGTACCACCAGTGCAGTGCTCCTCGAGCTTTGCTGTGCCCGCGGGTCACCTAGGGTGTCATGGGATGCAGATTCCCGTCCAGCAGGGCTGGGGCAAGGCCTGCATTGCTGCGTTTCTCCAGAGCTCCGGTGGATGGGACGCCAGCCAGCGCTGCTGCTGCCCCAGACCACACGCGGAGCAGCCGGCCGTGAAGAATGTCCCTGCCCAGGAACGCTGGATTGTCAGGTGTGGTCCCAGCAGTCTGCTAAGTGCTCTGAAGAGTTGAAAAGCTGCCGAGAAGCCCCGGTCTGGAAACTCAGCGTCTGTTAGAGGAGATAAGAAATGCAAACACAAAACCACTGGAGGAGAACTCAAGAGAGTGTGTTTTATGGAGCCTACGTGTGGCTGCAGGGCTTGGGGAGCAGAGAGGGACATGCCGGCTAAGCAAGTGGGAGCTCAAACAGGCAGAAAGGGGTGGGGTGGGGCTGCCGCTGAAACTGAGCCCAGAGGAGAAGGGTGGGATGCAGGGACCAAAGAACTGCAGAGACCTCTGTGGGACCCTCCTCACCCACCCCCACCCCACAGTCCCACACAGTGACCGTCCCCAGGGTGGAAAGGGCTACGTGATGTGACTGGCTTTCAATTCAGTGGAAAAGTCAAGTGTGTCTCCCACACAGAATAGTCTAGTGTGTCTCCCAGAGCAACTGACACAGAGCATTCATGAGGCACAGAACAGGGTAACTAACACACCCTGACTTGGGCATGGAGGTTCCAAAGACAAAGAAAAAAAATGCATCCCCATAAGAATGGAGATAAATATAACTAATGGCTCTGTGTAATGGTCTACTTCAGATATGCATTCCTTATTTGCTTTTGTTGCTAAGTGGAAGGAAAACAGAGAAAGCTAGCATTGTCCTTGTCAGTTGCCCTTTACAAGAACGGCTATGCCTTTTGGTTCAGGTTCAGGTTCAGACTCTGTTTTGAAGGTGGTGAAAAAGCAATCCATGTCTAGCTCTGGGAAGATCTGACCCACTACAGCTGGGAGTTGCTGGAAGAAAGAACTTCCTTTATCCCAGGTCCTACAGCTAAGTCACAGTGGCCATAACGTGAAACACCGTGGCAAACCTGGAGGCTTGATGTCTTAGCTCAGTTTTGTGCTACCACAGACTAGGAGATTTATAATGAATGGAAATTTATCCCCAGTCCCAAAGGAAGGTACCACATTGGGTAAGGACCTATTAGCTGCATCTTGGTGTGGCACAGGGCATCATGGGGGTGAGAGAGAGCGTGCACGAGAGAGCATGCAAGCATAAGATGGGGCTAAACTCACTTTCTACATCAAACCCACGCCAGCAATAGCAACATGGATCCATTCATAAGGGCAGAGCACTCACGACATAATCACCACCTCATCCGGGTCCTAGCCCTCAACACCCGTGCTTTAGGGGTTAAGTTTCCAACACGTGAGCCTTGGGGGACACATTCACTCAATGGCACCTGGTAACTCAGCAGGGCCCCGGGACAATGGAGGGATCCTTCACTCGTAAGGACGGACACCTGGGCTGAGTGTTGGTGGACAGGAAGGAAGCTGCCAGGCGGCACAGGGCAAACTCTTCTGGGAAGAGGCGGCAGCTCCAGCAGAGCCCGGGAACACGCGTGTTGGGAGAATGACGTCCTGTGGATGTACCTGGCTTGGGAGGGGTGAAGAGGGGACCCCAGGCAGGAGGTTCACACTTTATCTTGTACACAGCCACCTCCCCTCCAGCTTGGGGAGACTCTGCTTGGCCACACCTAGTTCTGGCAGCCGGCTTTGGAGCGCGCGTAGGAGAACCGCGGAGTCTTCGCACAAGCTTCCGTGTGAAATGGTTGTCTTCCTGGACGACGCGGTCATGAGGAAGCCGCCTGGAGCGCGCAGGCCAGGGCCGCTCTGCAGCCTCACTGCTAACCTGCTGTGCGGTTTCTGTGAAGGAGCAAGTTCCCCTCCCCACCAGGAGTAGTGATCACTTTGGCCCCAAACTCAGTAGTTCTCACTGCTTGTTCCGCAGACTTCCTGGTCGCCACTGCACACATCATCTACTTAAACCCCTGCCCTGCAAGGCCCATGGAATAAGTTCTGTAGCAGCCCTTTTGCACTGGAAAAAAAAAAAAACAAAGTTCAAAAAATGCTAATAACTGTCCCAAGGAGCACATGGCTAATATTAGCAAAGCTGGGGTTCAATCAGACTCCAAACTCTTCATCAAGACTCAATTCTGCAGCAACTCTTACCCCAAAGATGGTCATTTTTAGCAATCACTGCTTTTAAGATAACTTCAGGGGCCAGTGTTGTGGCGTAGCAGGTGAGGCCGCCGCCTGCAATGCCGGCATCCCATCTTCAAGACCCGGCTGCTCCACTTCTGATCCAGCTCTCTGCTATGGCGTGGGAAAGCAGTAGAAGATGGCCCAAGTCCTTGGGCCCCTGCACCCACGTGGGAGACCCAGAGAAGGCTCCGGGCTCCTGGCTTCGGATCGGCGCAGCTCCTGCCATTGCGGCCATCTGGGGGACCCTCAGGGCGGTCCCTCACATTCCTCCTAAGAAGACCTTATGGACCTCTGGGTCCTCCCTGCTTGGTCTACAGAGGAGGAGGCAGATGAGCAGGGCTGTAGAGCTGACTCCAAGGCACACGGTCCTTCCTAGTAAGAGATGCTGCCATCATATTTCATCTGTGCAGGTGCACTGAGGAAGGGCTCTGAGAAGTCAGCTTGGGGTTTTTCTGCACGTACCCATGTTCTGTTCCTCTGCTCTTCTCTCTGCTTCCTTTGTACTTGCACATTTTGCAATGAAGTTGGAAATAAGGATCACGGGTGCCTGGCAGAAGCCATCAGGGGGCAGGTGTTCACCAAGTTGATTGACAGTGTAGGACAAAGATTTCTGTTTGGATATTTTCCAGAGGAGATTTCTGGCCTTCAGGAAAAATGATAGAAACTTTGATGTTTTCTCCTGACTGAAATGAATGTGATATTCCTTAAGAGAAAAGATGAAGTCATAAAATATTCTCGAAAAACCGAGAATAATATGATATCAAGAGTCTTAAAGTTATTCCTACTCTTTAACTTAATAACTCGCGTCTAAGAATGCCCTTTAGGGAAATAATCTGAAATTCAGAGATATGTACATATCAATGTTCATCTCCACATTACTTATAAATTTTTTAAGAAGAGTAAGAAGAAAAGCAACCTAACTGCTCAACCTCAACACAATGCTCATAAAAATAAAATACTATGCAGTCATTAAAGTATTATTTATAACGACTTCAATGACTTGAAGAAATGCCTGCTATGTAATTTTAATTGAGGGGAGAGGGTGAACTAATCTAAATGACATGATCTCAACCGTGTAAAAACTACATAGAAAGTGAGGGATCTATGGAAAAGCTAACAACCTCTAAGGAAATGGTAGGAAACAGTTCCATTATTATGTGATGAATAATTTTACCCTCCTCTCTAAACTTACCAACAAGTGAGTGAGTTCCTTTTATAATTCAAATGCAAACTTTAAAAAAAAAAGGAGTACAGAAAATCTTGCATAAGTGGCAAAGATGGTCTCTCCTACAACACCTGCTTTGTCTGTCATCCTGTGACGGCTGCAGACAGGGACTGAGACTGGACACGGTGGGTACCGCTGACGTGGGCACCGGCCCTCTCCAGAGCTGTGGCTGCAATATGGTAGAAAGGGTTCTCAAGGAAGCTTAGAGGAACAAGTACAGCCTCATTGTACAGATGAGGAAGCTGACTCAAAGACAGCCGAGCGACTCCAAGACCACGCAGGGAGTGACAGAGACGCCCAGCTTCTAGTCCAGCGTGTCTCCCACTTTTGGAGATGGACGCCCAGGTGCTGTGGACACTTGTCCTCAGCGTGCTATTATCATGGGAAGTGTGCATCATCACGCTGCTTCTCTCAGGCACTTGGCACATGATCCCAGAGTTCCAAGCAAGGTGATGGCCGGTGTGGAATCAGGTTCGGAGTTCGCTGATGGCAACAACAGAGGCCACCCATGGGTTCAGCCATAACGAGGCACATTGACTACTTTCTCTGAGAATCAAAAAGGAGCATTCAGGATCATAGTACTGGGGAGTACTTGGAATAGTGCCTGATAGGAAGTTCAGTCTACTGCAGGACACATATGGGCTACATGCTAGAGAATGCAGCACCATGTAAGAAATGATGAAGCTTCGTCCTCATGTGGTTAAAGTCCAAAGGAACACAGAAAGTGAACACTTATTTACAAGCGTGAAAAGTGTCACAATGGACAAATACAAGATGCTCTCAGATCATATAGCAATATATGTCAGTACCGTGCTGTTTTAGTTACTATAGCTTTGAAGTAAGCTTTAAACTCAGGTATTGTGATGTCTCAAAATATGCTATTTCAAAAACTAAAAAATAAGGAGAGAAAAAGAAATAAAAAAGAAAAATGGAGGTAAGAAGGAAGTTTATATTCTTAGAATTGTACCAATAACTACATTGAACCTATTCTCTTTTTAATATCACATTAACATGAGATTTGATGAGAAGTGTGTTGTAGTAATTATTGTGCACTTGCTGTGGCCCTAGAATCTAAGGTATTCATTAATTCCTTAAAAATGCGTGCAAAGGGGCCAGCGCTGTGGCGTAGTGGGTGAAGCTGCCACCTGCAGTGCCAGCACCCCCTGCCTCTGCCTGTCTGTAACTCTGCCTTGCAAATAAATAAACAAATCTTTTTAAAAATGCATGCCAATTTACAAGCAGGATCAAGATTTAGAGAGTCACTGTGCATCAAGTGTGTAGCTTGGTACCTGACACACAGCGAATGCTCAGTAAACCCCAGCTGTCATTTGTGCTGCGACTCAGAGTCTGTACAACTTCCTTCAAGGGCAAAACTGCTTCTGGACACAGGAACCGGAAAGAAGAGTCTATGGTCCACCTGTTATTCATTCATTCAATATGCTTTTATTTTAAAGAGAAAATGCATATGTGTAAGGCCCTGTAAACAAGGGTAGAGTACAAAATAGACAAAGATTCCCACACTCCAGGTGCTCCGATTCTCATGGGGAAAAAGACAAAAACAAACAATTGCAAAATGGTGTAATAAGAAATATAGCACGGGGGTCGGTGTTGTGCAGTAGCAAGTAAGCTACCACTTGCAACACCAGCCTCCCATGTCAGAGTGCCGGTTCGAGCCCCAGCTACATTGCTTCCAACTCAGCTCCCTGCTAATGAGCTTGAAAAAGCAGCAGGAGAATGGCCCAAGTGCTTGGACCCCTGCCAATCACATGGGAGACCCAGATGGAGTTTCTGGCTCTTGGCTGTTGTGGCCATTGGGGGAATAAACCAGCAGATGGAAAATTATCTTGTTCTCTCTCTCTCTCTCAGTTTCTCTCCCTCTCTCTCTCTCTATCTCTGACTTGGCCTTTCAGATAAATAAATAAATAAAATAGGAATGGGAAGGGAAAGGAAGGGGAAGGGAGGAGAGGGGAGGGGAGAGGAGGGGAGGGGAGGGGAGGGGAGCTCAATCCTTCCTAGCTTTTCTGATAAGGGAAAGGAGCCGATCCTAGAAGGATCAGCGGTTTACGGGGGTCTTGTTTTATTACGTTTTCCTTTGGCCATGGAGACTTTGGCATGATAACTTTGCCTTTGCGTTCCTAGCTCCACATTTTATTTCTCAGTTCAGTCACCCAGTGCACTGCAACAGGATCCCCCAACCCACCCAAAAAAAAAAAATTGCTGGGAAGAGCTCATTGCTAGGCCACAGCTGCAGAGTTTCCGGCCAGGAGAAGGAACGTGGACCAGGCGCCTTTCTCCAGAGGGAGTGGCTTCCAAAATCACCCAGTGCCCATCTCCACAAGGACGGCAGCAGGAAAAGTTGCTCAGTCTTCAAGAATGCTGGGATTGCCTGTGTGTCGAAGGTGAGAGACTTCTGTGCCCGGATCCCCAGCAGATGCCTGGGACCGACAGCACTGGCCTGGCCGGCAAAGCCCTCTGCCTTTCTCTGCACCCTCACCTCCGCAGCCCCAAGACTCAGCACCTTGCTGGAGGTGGAAATGCCTTCCCTGGGGGTGAAGGTGACAAAGACCAGGAGCTCGAGAGGATGTTCCCAAGTGCCCCAGTGTGAGGGAAGCTGGGGCTTCTCTCCCTTCCTCTGCAGCCCAGGCACTGGTGCCTGCCCCACTCTCCAGCCCCTTCCATGCCAGGAGCTTGGGCCAAGCCTCTCACAAAGGCCAGATTTGGTGAGTCGGCCAATGGCTCAGACCAGCGCTGAGTCATCCGATGCCTTCCCACGCACGCCTCACGTGGACGGAGGACCTGGGTCTGCCCGGTGCATGCCCTTGGAGAGTTCTCTTGTCTCTGACCCTGGCTCACCCCACGCGGTAGAAGACAAAGCTAGTTCCTGCTACCTCTGCTGGACCAAACTTCTCTAATTCATGTCCAAACAAGCCAGCAGATGCAATGGCAGAAAACAGAAGGAAAAATAAAAATTTGTTTGTAAAGGGAAGGAGGTGATAGGCTAGCTTCTGCCTGGGAACCCTGTCTCAGCTCTGCGGGTCTTGGCCAACTCTGGCCTCTGCCCTCCCCCTTTGACTGCAGGAACTGGACAGGAGCCAGGAGCTTCCTCTAGGTCTCTCATGTGGATACAGGGGTCCAAGCACTTGGGTCATCCTCTATTGTTTTCCCAGGCGCATTAGCAGGGAGCTGAATCAGAAGCAGAGCAGCCAGCTCTCGAACCGGCACCGATATGGAATGCAGGCATTGTGGCAGGCAGCTTAACCCACTGCTCCACAGTGCAGTCCCCAGTGCCCTGTCTTTCAAGGTTCCACCTCCTCTCACCATAGCCACACTGAGAACCAGGCTTCCAGCACCTAAACCTTTGTGGAGTGACGCAAAGCATAGCTAAACTATAGCCCTGAGTCCACCGTGAAATGAGAATTTTTCTGGGGCTGGCGCTGTGTTGCAATCAGGAAGGAAATAAAATGGAAATATGACTGTGGTTCACCCCTTGTGTCAGAGACTTCAAGAAAATAACAAGCCCGGGAATAAACTCCTAGCAGCCCAGGTCAGGGGAGAAAACAGAGGGAGAGAGCCCCTTATATGCACATTGGATAATCCTAGCTCGGTGCCTGCCTCAGTGTTTTTGGAAAGATTTGATTAGTGTATTAATAATTTCAACGTTGAGGTTTTGTTTACCTCCACCCCAGACTCTTCATCTTGGCAGGTCAACCCAACGTTGAGGGGTGGCCTCCAGCCCCCAGGACACAATAAAGGAGAATGGAGCAACCTTGTTTAGCAACCACAGCCCAGGAGGTGTGTGACCCAGAAAAACTCACCGGCAATGGAGGCTCTGAGCCGGAACCCAGAATCACGCAGTTCAAGATGGGCACAATGAGCGCTTGGTGCCAGACCGCACGGCGGAAACCCTGGATCTGCTGCTTACTGTGTCCCCGTGCCCAGAGCGTTGCATTTCTCTGAGCGTCTCCTGCTTGCCTACAAAGCGAGGAGAGCGTGAATCTATCTTCCAGGAGGATTTCTTGGGAAGGGAAAATGAGGCCGACTTTGTTAAAGGCTTAGCATACTCAGACTTGGGTACATAATGTTAGGGCTCTCCTTGTCTCTCTTTTCCTATCTTTCTGTTACCCATCTTGCATGAACGTGGGTACAAAGAGAAGTGCTTTGCACATGAGCACATCTGAGGCTGGGTGGCGCTGGAACTGGTGACAATGCTGCTGCTTTATGGTGAATCTCTATTTTTTTTTGACAGGCAGAGTTAGACAGAGATAGAGAGACAGAGAGAAAGGTCTTCCTTCCGTTGATTCACCACCCAAATGGCTGGTGTGGCCGGCACGCTGCGCCGATCCGAAGCCAGGAGCCAGGCGCCTCCTCCTGGTCTCCCATGCGGGTGCAGGGCCCAAGCACTTGGGCCATCCTCCACTGCCCTCCTGGGCCACAGCAGAGAGCTGGACTGGAAGAGGAGCAACCAGGACAGAATCTGGCGCCCCAAATGGGACTAGAACCTGGGGTGCCGGTGCCGCAGGCGGAGGATTAGCCTAGTGAGCCGTGGCGCCAGCCTGTGGTGAGTCTCTATTAAGACTTGGCACACACACTCCCGTTCTTTGAGAAAAGTCTCTCTGCCAGGCAGATTGCCTCTAGGGTAGAAGAGATATCTGAGCTACAAGGATCTGTTAGGATGCAGGGTCATAAATGCTTAAATATTAGAATGGGTAGGACCTTAGAAGTTACCCAGCACATAGCCATCATTTACAGAGGAGGCCCAGAACAGGAAACTTGGAGAAAGTTCCAAGTTCAATGTCACTCGTTTGTTCTACTGAATTCTGACTCACTCTTCTTTTGAAATGAAAGCCATTCCGAGAATGTCTCTGTGTTTATGTGTAAGTCAAAAGCATATAAATCGTGCAACAAAACATGGTCATCGCAATGCTCAGTATGAAAAAGGTGCCTGATGAAAAGCATCAAAGTAAAAGAGGAAAAGTGGTGTTAAAGTTGTCTTGTTGTTCATTACGGTGCATACATGAAGTAATGCTGCAATTAAATGATATATACGCTAAGAGAAATTTTTACCTGATCATCAAAGCATCATGCGAGAGTCTGTTCCATGCCACAGACAGGCTGTATCAATCAGAAGCCACCAGAAATCCTATTGCTCAGTGTGTTGAAGGTGTGACTAAGAACCAACAGCACAAGTTGTATAAGAAAGTGATTATTGTTGTTGTAGCTGATGAATTAGTGTATTTTTTTGTAGAGTTGATTCATGGGCTAGAAAATCACTGGGGGCCGGCGCTGCGGCTCACTTGGCTAATCCTCTGCCTGCGGCGCCAGCACTCGGGTTCTAGTCCTGGTTGGGGCGCCAAATTCTGGCCCAGTTGCTCCTCTTCCAGTCCAGCTCTCTGCTGTGGCCGGGAGTGCAGTGGAGGATGGCCCAAGTGCTTGGGCCCTGCACCCGCATGGGAGATCAGGAGGAAGCATCTGGCTCCTGGCTTCGGATCGGCGCAGCGCCAGCCATGGCGGCCATTTGGGGGGTGAAACAATGGAAGGAAGACCTTTCTCTCTGTCTCTCTGTCTCTCATTGTCTAACTCCTAACTCTGCCTGTCAAAAAAGAAAAGAAAGAAAGAAAAAAAGAAAAAAGAAAACCACTGGGATGTGCCGTGACAGACATACCAGGGATGCTGGGGCCAGCGCTGTGGCGTAGCCAGTGAAGCGGCACCTGCAGTGCTGGAATCCCACATGGGCACCAGTTCGAGACCCAACTGCTCCACTTATGATCCTGCTCTCTGCTGTGGCCTGGGAAAGCAGTAGAAGTTGATCCAAGTCCTTGGGCCCCTGTACCTGCATGGGCAACCCAGAGGAAGCTCCTGGCTCCTGGCTTCGGATCAGCTCAGCTCCAGGAATTGCGGCCATCTGGGGAGTGAACCAGCAGATGGAAGACCTCTCTCTCTCTCTCTCTCTCTCTGCCTCTCAAATAAATAAATTTTTTTTTACAAAAAGCACTGGGAGTTTGCACAGACACTGGCCACTTTTTGGATGGTTGCAGGCTGTGGTCTATGTCCTGGTTGCTGTTGATATGTCAGACATATTAGGAAATTATCAAGACAACATTTGCGAGGACATAGAACGTAAGCCTTTTTATTACACCCCTCTGCAGCAATTGCGTGGTGCTAAAAGGTTAGGGCTGGAAATTTCCAGGGATGCAGTAGTTAACACAGAGGCCTGGGTGCGCTTCTGTGCTCTGAACTGCTGAGAGTGCAAAGATTTGCATGACCCTGGGAACCACAGCACTGTATTCTGCCGTATTTCCTGGAATTTGGGTAGACCACTTGAGATGGTTTGGAGTTATGGGAATGAGTTTTCCAAACTGTTGAAATACAATCTTCATGTCAACTGTTCAAAACCTAGGCCCTGTGCAATAAGCTTCTGGGATCTTATGAAGGCTGTCCGCGAGTCCACGGCATACCTCCACATCGCTGTTAAGGAATGCAAGTTCAGTTCACTCATTTCTTTTTTTAATTGTTACAACTACTTTTTTAAAGAAAGATTTATTTATTTATTTGAAAGTCAGAGTTGCACAGAGAGAGGAGAGGCAGAGAGAGAGGTCTTCCATCTGCTGGTTCACTCCCCGATTGGCCACAACGGCCGGAGCTGTGCTGATCCAAAGCCAGGAGCCAGGAGCTTCTTCCGGGTCTCCCACGCGGGTGCAGGGACCCAAGGACTTGGGCCATCCTCTACTGCTTTCCCAGGCCACAGCAGAGAGCTGGATCTGAAGAGGAGCAGCCGGGTCTCGAACCAGCACCCTTATGGGATGCCGGCGTTTCAGGCCAGGGCGTTAACCTGCTGCGCCACAGTGTCAGCCCCTCGATTTACTAATTTCTAAAGAAATTATCTCCAAGAAATCTATTTTGTGGGGAATAATCCAGCCCACTTAGCTACACTGCAGGGAGTTTCCGGGAATGAAAGTGATGGCCTGAACCACTTTCTCAAAGTCATCAATTAGAACTCTGGACTCTGAGAGCCGATTTGCAAGCTAATGAAAATGAAAGGACACTGTTGAGTTTTCCTTCCTTAATCAATCTTGATAGCATAAAGGAAGCACCACAAGTTGATATTATTGAGCTGAAAGGCAAAATAGTCTTACAAATGTGGCAATATTGAAGCGTAGGGATTCTAACGAGTTGGATCCAACTCTGCTATCCAAGTTCAGGACACACAATGGAAGAAGAGGTGTTGACATTTTGATACAGAAGAAAGAGTATTATGATTCCAGATTCGTGCAAAAACAAATTATGTTTAAAATTTTCAAATATTTATTATTAAACATTTCTTATTCTCTATTTGCATTTTATAAATATTAAATAAAATCACTATTATACATATTTATGTATAACCTGCTTACATTACAGTTCAGTGAAAAAAAACAAGGCCCGTGTACTGATTTTTCTTAAATCCTGTGCATTTCATTCAATTCTGTTACTCACCTACTTGTAGGCAGGCATGTGACTTTGAGCCCCTAGCTGAGAGTCCTTGAACTTGACAGATTTGTGTCCATACACAGTGTGTTGGATGCTGAACTGTACATTTGAGCCTGGGAGCAGAACACCATGCGGCCTGGGCAGGAACTCAGGCATTGCCACGGAGTGGGCAAGCACCCGTGGCCTGTGTCACATGCAACTTCATCTGCAATGCTGTGTGGCCCAGACATGCAGACAAGGTAGCTGACTCACAGAGCTTTCACTTCCCCTGATGCCTGCCCTTGCAACCAGGCCTGATCAACAGGGTGTTGGCACGGAGCCAGCCCTGAAATACAGGAATATTTTGGGCATGAGAAATGGAGGCCATCAAGAAGGAGATACTTGACTGTGTATCAGTAGGACAAGCAAGGGCCCGTGGGGTTGAATGAAACAATAAAAGATTTATGATTTTGTTTTTAATTAGCCTCAAGTACACAGAATCAGATTAATTAAACTCCTGATCTGTGGCACGCTCTTGTCATGGTCTTCTTTTGGTGAGTGGATAGGTGCATTTCTTTAATTATTCAGACATGAATGCACTCATGGCCCAAGGTCCATACCGCACAGCACTGAGCATCGTGACGACCCTGCTCCTGCACACCCTGTAAGAACAGGGGAGGGGCTGACGTTGTGGCTCAGTGGGCTGAGATGGCCATTGCCAAGCTGGCATCCCATGTTGGAGTGCTGCCTTTGGAAGACCAGACTGCTCCACTTCTGATCCAGCTCCCTGCCAGTACGCCTGGGAGGCAGTGGATGATGACCCGAGTCCTTGGGCCCCTGCCACCCACATGGGAGACCCAGATGGACTTCCTCCTGGCTCCTGGCTTTGGCCTGGCCCAGCCCTGAGTGTTGAGGCCCCTGGGGGAGTGAACCTGTGGATGGACGATCTCTCTCACTCTCCCTCTCCCTCTCTCTCTCCTTCTTTCTCTCTCTCTCCCTCCCTCCCTTTCCCTCTCCCTCTCTCCCCCACACATACACTTTGCCTGTCAAATAATAAATAAATTGTTAAGAGAAGGGGCGTGTGGGAGGCCAGCTGACCTGGATTGAGCATCTGCTCCTTGCTGGGTATCACGCCAAGCACTCAGCATACACGAGCTGCTGAATTCTCCCAGGTGTCCCTGGGTGAGCAAAGGCAACACACTCACTTCTTAGCCGCCCCGTGCCTTCTTCCCACTGCGGTAAACCAGCTGGTCAGAAACGCAATCTCCCTGAGTGACAAGAACACTTCTGTGCAATGTTCTCAGGTGGTGGCTGAATGGTCTGATGTTGGGTGACTTTCAATTTTCACAGCTGAACTTTCAAATCTCATTAAAACGGCTTTTTGTTGCTATTTGCAGAGTTTAAATCAGCAGTGATCCAGCAAATAAGCAGACACAGCAGGTTGCCTCTCTTGGCAGGTGGAAGAAGAAACCTACGAAGTAGACAACTGGGAAAGAAAAATGTGACTGCGGAGCTCAGGCATGGCGAGCCCCTTTGTAAGAGCTGTCGTCTGTAAATCCTAACAGATCTTTATATTTGATGACTTTGAAAGAAAAAGAGGGCTGTTTCTTCTCCCCATCGTCGGGAGTGTTTGCACTGGCAGAAGCGTCGGATGGGCGGATTGCTAAGAAGTTTGGAAATCTCCACCAGTGTCTGATGCAACCTGGTGTCCCACATAATCTTAATTGAAAAAAAGAATCTGAAAAGGGTCTGTCTTCAGTCCACAGCAGCTCTAAACTCCTTAACTGGCCCTTACCCATGGCTATTAGGTTTTACTTAGCATCTGGCTGGGAGAACCAAGAGGAAATACCAAAGTAGTTTGGTATTTATTGCACATCTAAAGGGCAAGGGATGGTGCTGGGTGCCATGAATGAATCAGACAGGAGCCTTGCTTCAAGTTGTTCCCAATCTAGGGACGGGAATGGGACAGGTCTCCAAAAATCAGAATCCAAAGTAGCAAGAATTAAGGACCAGAGCTGGGGATCAATGCATTCTTCCAGAGAAGGTGCAGATTTTGAGCTGGGGTGTGCGTAAGGGCCTTGGGAGCAGGGAAGCGGAGTGGAGGGGACGTCTGGTGGCGCGGGGACAGCAAGACAGCGTGGAGAAGACGACCTTCGCGTTGGGGCTGCTGGAGGAGGAGGAGGAACTGTAAGGCCGGGCACAAGGAGGGTCTCACAGGGGCTGTTCCTGCTATGCCTTGTCCTTTGCCTCTGCTGCCCCAAATTTTGGCATCCTCCAGCTGGGACTCCACCTCGGGGCCCCACTGGGGACCATTCTCACTTGTCCTCCTCCTCCTTGTCCCTCTTTGCTGTCTCCCTGGGGTCTCTGCGTGGTCAGTGACTTAGTCCCTAAGACAACACCACCAGCAGCCACCGTACCTCTTTGCTTCCTAGAGGCCTGTCTCTAAGGACGGCGAGTGTCGCTCCAGAGCAGGCCCATGGGAAGATATCCGGGGACGTGGAACTGTACGTTCTTAGAACAGCCTCTTTGGTCACCCAGCGCAGCCTCCTGCAGCCAGTACCAGAGCTTCCTAAATCATCCTGACAGGCAGACAGGCCTGGGGGTGACTCAGACTCGCTCTACGTGCGTCTTCATTTCACGTCTCTGCTTGGTCAAGGTCAAGGGGATTAGGCAGGAGCTGGTCTGCATTAAGGACACAAAGCCCCTCTTCAGCCCTGAGGCAGCTTGGGGGTGGGGGGTGGGCGGGGACTCCAGGGCCAGCAAGACCTCACCCGGGCCCTGTGAGGAGAACAAGCCGCTACTCAAGGCCGGATGGCTGCTTGTGGCAGGAACAGAGCGCTCCCCACGCTGCCTGCCCAGGTCTGTGGCGGTGGGGGGGATAATGCGAGCATTCATTCCCAGCGCTCCCTGGTGTGGACGGGAGCGGATTTGAAGTGGAGGTGCAGAAAGGCCAAGGGCAAAAGCAGTGTTGGGTGCAAGTGTAGCACGGCTGCCCGACAGCCACGCAGCAGCCAGGGCCTGGGTCAGCTGGGAGGGTTGGGACATCCTGCCTCAGGGCAACGTGAACTTTCGTCGGCCTGCTTGCCTAAGTCTATATTAAGGCCGGTTAAACATTTCTAGCCTTTCCAAATACTCTGCATGGCTTTTCCCCAATGAGCTGCCTGCTGAGGAAGGGTGGACAGAGTGCATACCCTCAATCATGTTGGAGGCACTCCAACCTCTCTGTCCCTGGGTGCCGAAGAGTTGGGTCCCTCAGGTCCTCTGTGATCCACTGATAAGTCCCCTGCCTAGGGGGTGAGGAGGCCGTGGATATGACCACACAGCAGTTATGTAACTGTCCTGGGCTTCTCGTTCCTCACCTTGCAAGTGGCCATAATGACAACCGTCCCACCTCCCTCCAAGGTGGCTGAAAGGATGGGATGAGAAAACCACCATAAATCATGCTGTGCCCGAGAAGCCAGTAATGCCTCAAGGCCGGGGGTTGGCCAACATTTATGTAAAGGGCCAGGTTGGAGATATTTTAGGCCTTGTGCACCCCATGAGGTCTCTACCCTGTATTCTACTTTGTGCTTTGGGTACGATCCTTGAAAAAATGTAAAAATCCTGCCCAGTTTGTGGAGTGCCCCCAGACAGGCCTGTGACCGGTGGTGATTTGCCAATGGGTATGACAGACAGGTAAGGACCAGACATAGGGTCAGTGGTTGTGAAAACTCTAATTACAGATAAAGGTTCATAGATAATAATATGCAAAGTATATAGAAATGCAAATAAGTCTGTGGATTCAGAGTATTTCTCTGACTTGCGGCCCCTATGAGTAGAATTATTTAAACTCCAGCCGATGGGTAATTTTGTGTAAGTGGAGCAAGATTGCCTGGTCAGGTACTCTGCTCTTGACTGAGACTAGAGCTTCCCCTCTGAATTTCTTGGGGGTCCCGGACCTGGAGACCAGGCTGCAGCCTTTACCTGGCTCGCTGCCCCTCCTGAGAGGTTCAGGGGGCCCTCCTGTAAGTCAGCCCCTGAGATGGTCGTTCTGCCCAAGTGTCCCAGGCCACCTGAGCACTGCCCCTGTATCCGCTCCTTCTCCAAGAGACAAGGGAAAGATCTCTCTATCTGAGGGGTTCTAGCACCCAAGTAAGAAGCAATTAATGTGAGCTGTGACAATTAGCTCACAAACAATGCTTGTTTGTTTACACCACAACAGACTCAACAACTGATTTCTATTTTCCACAAACTTTGGGCAGCGACCTCATGTGGAAACCTAGGACTTGAAATTCTGCTGTCAAATGGTTCATGACTCCATGGGGCTGTGGTTTCTGGTTCCTTCTGTCCCCAGTAAGAAAGCAAGTCCCCATTTCTCTTTTGTAAAGCATTTATTTTATTTATTTGGAAGGCAGAGTTACAAAGAGACAGAGGCAGAGAGATAGTGAGAAAGAGAGAAAGAGAGAGAGAGAGAGAGAGAGAGAGAGGTCCTCCATCCACTGGTTCACTCTCCAGAATGGCAGCAATGGGCAGAGATGCCCTGATCCCAAGCCAGGAGCCAGGAGCTTCTTCCAGGTCTCCCATGTGGGTGCAGGGGCCCAAGGACTTGGGCCATCTTCTACTGCTTTCCCAGGCCACAGCAGAGAGCTGGATCGGAAGTGGAACAGCTGGGACTTGAACCGGCACCCATATGGGATGCCGGCAATGCAGGCAGAGGCTTAGCCCACTGTGCCACAGCACTAGGAGAGGAACTGCATATGCAAATGAACCTAAAAGACCAATGGGTTACTTGGGAACACTGTTTAAACACTGGCTTCTCAATGAAAGTATAATAAAAAGATAGAGGACAGTGTCTACCACCAGGAACTACAGAGACAGAGCAGTGAGAAAGTGGTGTTCTTCAATTCTGTTTCATTAAACCATGAGCATCTGCCACTGGGTTATATTTCAGAACACTGTTCTCTCACTGGAGTTTGGGTTCACTGATTCCTGGTTATAGATTAGAGCTACGTCCTGATGTCATCACAAAGCCATTGTCCAGCTACCCCTGGGAAGCCTTCCCAGTGACCGCTAGCCCTAGCCATGGCGGGTGACTCCTTCTTAGCACCCTCCAGTGCGGGGTAGGCCTGATCTTGCCCTTTGACGCTGGGGAGGTGCTGGGCCCCTTCTGTGGGGCAAGCCCAGGCCGCCCGCTTCCTAACAGCCCCGAGAAGGGAGGCATCTCAGGGAAGGAGAGATCTGCCAGACCGGCCTGATTTTATTCTTTCCACTTCAGATCCTGTCACTCTTCTGGGGAGAGAGAACCACTGGACAAAACACCATGTGACTCCCACTAACTGCAGGATACAGTCCAGACCCCTTGGTATGACAGATGAAGTGCCCATACTTTAACCTCAACCTTCCTCCCCAATCCTCACCTTCCAACACTCTGCATAGCCCACCAGCCTCCGCGAGCTGCTTGTCCTTTCTCTGATGTGCCGTATTTTTGTGCTATCCCGTATGCAACAAGGCCCTTTGTCCTTGTAGCGATTTGGTGAACTTGTCCTACAAGACCCTGCTCGAACAGTCCTCTGGGAAGCCGTTCCTGGCTCTCACTGGCAGATTTCTATCTTCTTTCTGTTCTTCCTTCAGGTCCTGGGAAAACTTGTAGGATGACACATACGATTCTCTAGGAGTTATCAATGTGTGTGTTTATCTCCTCCATCAGTTGGTGAGCTCCTGACCGGGGGCTATGGCTGCTCATTGTTATCCTCTGACCCAGCCCAGCCTGGCCAGGGTAGTCTCTAGGCAGTGCTGAGTGACAGGAGGAACAACCTGGAACCAGATTTTGGAATAGCCTGATAGCCCAGGTCGGGTATTCAAAATGAAGGTAGGGAGTCTCAGGAGAAAATATTAGGGCTCATACTTAAATTGATGCTTGCCAAAACTGACAACAAAAGTCATGTCTTCTAATATTTTATGCGAATGGATAATAGAATATGTATCTAATTTGGAAATAAATACACACCTTAAGAACAGGATGTGCATTGATAAATTGCAGCCAACTGTTATAAGCAATGGGAAGCCATTCTGAAGGCTCAGAAAACATGCCCCAAGAAAGTGTATAAGAATCAGTCTTACAGAGGAAGGTAGGGTCATCAATCAATATGCTAAGAACTTACAAGGACCAGGCCCAAGAGATAAGACAAGCATAGGAGTGATAGAAATGGAGGAAGGAGGACCTCCTGCAGAACCACTGTTACTTTGTTCATTATTGTCTTATAACAGCGGGACTGGGTGGCACACTGCTGGCAGTAAGGAGAAGCAGGGAGAGCCCCAGGGAGCTCTAGAATGTGGTCCTTGTGCAGGTGAGCAGGCAGAACACACAGGGAAGGAAGGCAGAGTGCTTTGCCCCAGGCTTAGATTCCATATAAGGGAGACCTTTTTATAAAAGCTGTCCCCATTTGTTTGAAGGTGCAACAACCCAAGGCCACCCATGCCAGCCTGAGGTTTCTTTGTAGACACTATTTATAGCTTCAGGTTGTTGCAACAGTGTTGTGCAACTGCTGTGGGACAGGACGGCTGGCCTGAGCCATTGTCCGGTGAGTGACTGTCTTCTGGCTGCTTCCTGCAGGCTTAGGAAACCATGCGAGAAGGTGGATTTGTTTGTCAGTTGAGCAACCTGTCCTACCTATGCCTGAAACTCTCCTTTTAATCATTAACCATCTCTTAAATCATTTGGGTTGTGTGCTCAAGGCCAAGGGGACCCCAAGAGAGAGAGGCGGAGAGAAGGGGAACAGGCCAAATGAAGGGATGGAGGGAGAGAGGGGTTCCCTACATCAACAGTTTATTCATTCCACAAGCACTTATTTAGTGTCTGCAATGTTCCAGGCACCACCCAAGGCCAAGGGTTTCAGAGTCGAGTAGGATGGGATTCCCATCTTTACAAAGCACGGCCTAGTGGAGGAGACAGACGTGCACACAGAAAACAATGGGGAAAGGATAAGTCCAGTACCACTGCTGGGCCTTCTTTCTGGTCTCGCTGCCTTCCAGAGAAGACAGAGCAAGAACTCAGACCCAGGAAAATGGGTCTCAGACTTTAATTACCAACACCTGACCCGAAGACGCGTGCTTAAAACGCAGCCCCCCAGCTCAGCAAGTCTGCGTCAGTGGCCTCTGCGTGGAGTCCAGGGCTCTGCCTTTGTCCAGCTCCCTAGAGGACTCAGATGTAGGGGGTCCAGGACCACAAGAGGGCACTGCTCTTCCAAGCCCAGTGGGAGAATCAGAGCCTGCGACTCTCAGAGTCCAGAGTGGCCAGTCAGCCAGGAGGCTGATGGAAGACAGAGGAAGAAAGAGAGAGGGAGAGAGAGAGAGAGAGAGTGCAAGCATGGGGGCAGGAAATGGAAAAAGATAAGCCAGGGTATGCAAAAGAAAGGAATGCAGCCCTAAGGAAGTGAGCGAGGTGCTGGGGGCTGCTCAGCTGGCTGGTGTCCAGGCATTAGCCATGACTTTTTATCTTTATCACGTAAACTTGCTGCCTTACCTAGGCAAGCAAAGGGCAATGAGCAGAAATGGAATTTGCCAGAGCCTTGGGCATAAGTAGTCCTCGCGGAACTCAGTCTTGTCTTTATTGTGCCTCTTGTTTCCCTTATAGACACCCCGACTGCAGCACGTTGCTTCTGCCAGGCTTCTCCTCAAGCTGGAAGCCGCCACAGGCTACTTCCGGAGAGGGAGGCGGCCGTAGAGAAGATGCACACACCTGATGTTATCTCCAGGAGCTCCGTCTGCTGCACACCCCTGCCCTGCACAACCCTCCAGGCTGAGCCACTGACTGCCCAGCTTCCGCGGAGCTCTGATGGCCCACAGCAACTGCCACTCTGTGGTCTGCACATCCAGCTCCCCACCCTGATTGCGGCAAGGTTGTTCTTTCTCTTAAACTGGACTTAGGCCCACAGCTGACCCCTGGGTGCATGTAGTGTGACTCCAGTGCCTCGTGGTCCCTCTTCCGGGTCAGGTAGGCTGCACCGGTGGCTCTCGGCACATTCTGGAAGTGTGCTTTCCCCTGATCCTCTCTGAATGGACCTCTCTTGTCTCATTCTGTGATGGTGAATGGCAGGGTTCTTGTCTTCATACAAGCAAGAATTCAGGCACGAGACAGAGAGTAGTGGAAAGTAAAATAGCAAGGTTTATTAGGGAAAGGACATCCATAAGAACGATGGGCACCTCTCCAGACAGAACCTGAGAGAGAGTGCCCAGGTGCTCGGACTGGGGGAAGAGCGAGATTACACGGTTGAGTGGAGAGAATACCCCTGGCCAGGCCAGGCGGGCGGCTCAGCATAGAGGCAGAGGGCTGAGCACACAGTCCAGTTGAGGCCAGGGGTTTTAAGGAGATGGGTCTTTGTCTTCACACATCTCCTCCTGAAACAAAAGACTTTATGGATGAAATACTAAAAAACTCCTATCTGCGTTTTCCCCCTGAAGGTATCAGACAGGAGGAAGCCTAGCTGGCGCCGCCCTGGGTTAGAGGAAGGGTGAGCAAGACCCCCTGAGGATCGGGATCCAAGCAGGATACTTGAAATACAGATACTGGGCTGCATCTGGAAGATTATCAGGCAGAAGGGGCGGAGCCCCCTACCTGGCAGGTTATCAGGTAGAAGGGGGAAGGGCAGGATGCGGATACTGGACTGCCCCTGAACCGTTATCGGGATGACTTTGAGATGCATAGATGTCAACTCTTTAGGCCTTTATGTCACACACACAGAAGCTCATATCTGACTTCCTACCTAACAATTCTTCAAGCAGCTCCTCGAGTGTACCCTTCCTTGTGAATTCCTCCTGTCCCCTTTCCCATTCGGAGTTCTTATCAGATGAATGCTGAAATCATCGTTTTTAAAGGTTGAGAGAGAGAGAGAGAGAGAGAGATATCTTCTCTGCTGGTTTATTCCCCAGATTGCTGTGATGGCCAGGACTGGGGCACACCAAAGCCACGAGCTGGGAACTCCATCCTGGCTCCTATGTGAGTGTCAGGGGCCCAAGTATCTGGGCCATCTTCTGCTTTGCTTCCCAGGTGCATTAGCAAGGAGCTGGATCAGAAGCAGAGCAGCTGGGACTCAAATCAACACTCCAATATAGAATGCCAGTGTTGCAAATGGCAGCTTAACCTCTTTCCCCACAACTCTGGTCCCTGGTGCTGAAATCTTTGCTCATGTGAACCCGATCCATCTGTCTACAAATCCCAAAAACCTAGACTCATGGGGATCCCCGGAGCATAATGGTTAGGAACTCTGACTGGCCTGAGTTCAAAACTCAGCACTGCTACCTGTTACCTGTATGATTCTGGGCAAGTTACTTCATCATCCTAAGGCTCCATTTGCTTACCTATAAAATGGGCTTATAATTGTATTTACTGTTAAGGTTGAATGAGCTGATGCCTGAAACACTGTGGCCCTCAGTGCTTGCTCTTCTCATTACACACACTTGTATCCTCACTTTCCCTCTAATCCCCATGGATACAGTAGGGTAGGTGCTCAGTAACATTTATTGAATTAGCCATGATGATGTGTAATTGTATCCCTGCACCTGTCTATTAGAACATCGTCTGAAGTGTGCAATTCTGTATCCCATTCATACATCAATATTGTATGCGTTTCCCCCCAGCCAGGGTTTGTTTAGAGTGGAATTATCTAAACAAGCCCAGGCAGTCTCCTCTCAATCACTCTTCTTTTGTGTCCATACCTCCGGGTGCTTTTCTCACTTCTGTTTCCATCTGCACATTTGCTTCTGAAAAAGCAAGCAACTCAAAAAATGGTGACTGTTTAAAAGGGCCTTAAACAGGCTGCATTCTCTGGAGGAGAAAGGTACAGAATTCTATCAAGCCTGCTATAAAGGTTTGATTTCAGTTTCTCCCCTTGCCCATTTCCCCCTGTGAAATGAGCTGGGAAGAATTCAATAAACCCTGAAGTCCCTGTTAATTGCAATGGTTTATGACTCCTTTGTGCACGGCTAGACTTCGAGGCTCTGAAAGGTAAAACAGCTTTTGCAGACAAACTCGATTTGACTGCCTACAGATGGCCTCCAACTTCTCCAGCTTACATGGATTCAACTTAATGATTTCTGAACCTTGTGATGGTGCCGAAATCATATGCATTTAGTAAACTCAGACTTCAGAGTCTGAGTTTTGACCTTTTCCCAGGCTAAGGTATTCCACACAACAGTCTCCCCACACCAGGCGATAGCAGCGGCCCACAGCTCCCCGGCAGCCCTGCCATCAGGAGAGTGTAACACCGACGCCCTGGTGTGCGGTGTGCTGTGTTGCCCGGCTGTGGTGTTTGGTAGGTTCATGTAGGAAATGCATTTTAGTCTTACGGTATTTTGAAGTTATGATGGGTCTGTCGGGACAGAGCCCCATCGGAAGCAAAGGAGCCCCAGGAGCCCCAAGTCTGATAAAGATCACCATCATGTCTGGAGCTTGCCCTGTTGACCGCAGGTCTCTGCCACTTTGCTGCAATGACTAAAAGCTGAATGTGTGATTGAACTAACTGTCGGGACATCTGGTTGACCTCCCTTTGCATTCAGGAGTTCTGAGAAAGGAAACATAGAGGAACAGAACTTGGTATACATTAAGCCCTTCTTAGAAATTTTGACCAGATAATAGAAGATTAAATCCAAACAGGAAATGTCTTGCAATAATAGGTGAAAAATCAGCAGCCAAACAGTAACCACATTTACTGCCCATTCAGGAGAATCTTCCTGTGAGTCCCACAAGCACCCAACCCATGGAGGCTGAAGGTGGGGAGCCTGTCCCACCTGCTCCTCTGTCCTGAGAGCAGGAGCCCCGCCCACCCTCCTGTCTCTTCCTCCCTTCCCACCCAGTATCCCTCACTTTGAACCCATTCTTCCTCTGAGCCATTGTTTATCGTCGTATTTTAACTCCTACTGTTTTTTGTTTTGTTTTTGACAGGCAGAGTGGACAGTGAGAGAGAGAGACAGAGAGAAAGGTCTTCCTTTGCCGTTGGGTCACCCTCCAACGGCCGCCGCGGCCGGTGCGCTGAGGCCGGCGCACCACGCTGATCCGATGGCAGGAGCCAGGTGCTTCTCCTGGTCTCCCATGGGGTGCAGGGCCCAAGCACCTGGGCCATCCTCCACTGCACTCCCTGGCCACAGCAGAGAGCTGGCCTGGAAGAGGGGCAACCGGGACAGAATCCGGCACCCCGACCGGGACTAGAACCCGGTGTGCCAGCACCGCAAGGCAGAGGATTAGCCTATTGAGCCACGGCGCCGGCTTCTACTGTGTTCTAGGAAGCATTTCTACTGAAATTTACAGTTACCTCTTCTCCCGGCAGGTTGTGCTAGGTGCCCGCTGGGCCCAGGCCAGCCCCACTCTTCTCAGTGGCCAGTGGCAGCTCTGGCTCCCCAGTACCCTCATTCTTGATTGACTGCTGGTGATTGGTTACAGAGAGGCTCTCCTGTCTCAACATCAATCCAGAGACAGTGCAGTACAAGGCAGTGCCTGATGAATCATCCACTCGACGTTTCAGCTTCATCTATGGGAGGCCCACGTGGAGAAAGCACCGTGGGTCTCCCAGGGAAGAAGCAACCAGCCCTGCTTGGGGAGCTGGGGAGGATTTGCCAGTAGAGAAAGGAAAGAACAGCCAGGAACAGCATGTAGAGCGTATATGTCCTAGAGCAGGGTTGGTGTTTAGAAAACAGCAGGGGGCTCCCAGCAGCTGGAGCACAGTGTGTATGGCTGGAAAGTGACCAGAGGTGGCGCTGTGAATGCAACGCAAGAGCCTTTAGATGCCACCCTGTTGGCAACGATATCATCATCAGATAACTCAGCAAGGAGCTGAAAGCTGGTAGGACTCGCAGCATCTCAGGGGCATTCAAGCAATCAGAGGTTAAACTTGAGAAGCATGAGTGGGGGAAAGACCCCTAAAGCAAGCAGTGGTGTGCTCTTGACCTGGGGAGACTACTGTAGAAAGTAGGGGTATAGGGGCCGGCACTGTGACATAGAGGGTAAAGCCGCTGCCTGCAGCGCCGGCATCCCATATGGGTACCTGTTTGAGTCCTGGGGCCCCTGCACCATATGGGAGATCTAGGAGAAACTCCTGGCATCCTGGCTGCTCCACTTCTGATCCAGCTCTCTGCTGTGGCCTGGGAAAGCAGTGGAAGATGGCCCAAGTCCTTGGGCCCCTGCACCCTCGTGGGAGACCCAGAGGAAGCTCCTGGCTTCGGATGGGCTGAGCTCCAGCTGTTGCGTTCAACTGTGGAGTGAACCAGTGGATGGAAGACTTCTCTTTCTCTCTCTGCCTCTCCTTTTCTCTATAGTGGTCTTCCGGTGGGCATCCCTTCCTGTGCTCCGAACCCACCCCGTACTCAGCAGGAGGACAGTCTGCATCAGCGGTGAACACCCTCAGCCCATCCTGACCCTAACTCACTGGCGGTGCCTGGTGTCAGAAGCTCGCCGGTAGGACATGCTGTGGCTGCGGTTGGATCACCCCCGCACGAGGAGGACGGCAGGCTATTCTGTGCCTCCACCACGTCCCTCCGACGGCTCCTACACCTCTTCCTCCCAGACCACAGGGGCTTCCTACAGTGGACTCACCACCACGTCCCCAGTGGCCCTGGGAATTCCTCCACCCTGTCCCTGTAGCTTGCTACCCACATTATGCCTATGCTTCCTACCAACAACCTCCCACTCTGCCTGCCCTCCGAGGAGTCCTGGCCCTGTTGGATCCTCTGCTGAGCTTTAAGGTCGCTTCTTAGTTCACACGAGCCACAGGCGAGCCTGACACAACCTAGGTGGCCAAGACCCTACAAGCCAGCCCAGTTCCTTCAGTGTAGTCCACTAGCGGCTCCTTCTGGAACTTTCGGTGCCCATGCTAAAGAGCATGAGTGGGCTCTGGGAGGTGAAAACCTCCTGGGGTCCATGACAAATCCTCCTACTTCGCTCATTCCTTGAGTCACCCAGCAAATATTGGTGGAGAGGCTACCAAGTCCCAGATTCATCCCGCAGTGCTGGGCACTCAGCAGAGAAGGTTTCAGGCCAGGGCCCTCCTGTTCATAGAACCTGCATTCTCATCTCAGAGTGAAAGAGACAACATCCGTGTCAAATCATACATAGCATCAAATTATTGTCAATGGCTTTAAGTCTCAAGACAATTTATTGCACAATATGTAAGTGACTGAGAAGAAAGGACTGTTGTAGACAAAATGCTCAAGGAATTATCCAACAATTTGAATGATAAAAAGCAGTCAGCATGCCAATTTTGGCAGTGCTATGTTAAGTTTAAATGTATTGCCTGCAGGGTGGGTGCTTGGCACAGTGGCTAAGAGGCCAGTTGGGACCTCTGACCCCATATTGGAGTGCCTGGGTTCAAGTCCTGGCTTCAGCCTCCTGTTCAAGCATATCCTGGACAGTAGCAGGTGAGAGTTCAAGTACTTGGGTCCCTGTCACCCATGTGGAAAACTTGGACTGAGTTCCTGGCTCCTGACTGTAGTGGGGGATTGAAGCACTGGATATGAGATCCCCCGCCCCCCTCTCTGTCTGATGAGGTCTCAGACAGAAAGGAGGAATCTCTTATTGGGAATCACAGTAAAGGCCATCCCTGTTACAAGGTAGCTAAGGACTTTCTACCTATGAATTGTGTCCATCCCTAGGCCTTTATGGAAGACACAGTTTAAGAGTCACGAACAGGATATTTGACTGAAGAAACTACCAAGTAAAATATTGAAGGTGCAATAAAGTGTGAGAGGAGAGAAATTATTCAGAGATGGGGAGCAGGGTGGAAAGATTTGGGAAATTTGCAATGTGACCCTGCGAAGCGCGAACACGTGCCTTCAGCAGAGTGA